TGTGGTCTAAACGGCCTAAATAACACCAAACTGATGTAGCTTACTACTGTCCTAATTATAACGTCTCCTGCGGTTAGATAGGATACCTGTGATCCGCCTTGTTGACGTGCGTCCACATTATTCTAAAACTCAGAATACTGTGGCAAACCTTTAGGTAGCATCCTGGAGGGGACAAACTAATTGATCGATCTAGGCCTTTGAAAAATAGCAATAGATAATTTCCAGAACTGTGTGTGAAGGAAAAGAGATGCCTCTCTCACATCCTGAAAAATAGTAGATATTATCACAACATAGTGTCAATCAACACACTGAAATTTTGACACTAAATTACCATATTTTTGCCGACTGTTTCTTTTATTATATGAAACTTTTAGTGGATGTTGTTCTCCAAGTTCTTGTTAACAGTGATTGGGATTTTTCTTTCTGCTATACATGCACTTTTTTTTTATAACTATGCAATACAATGACTAAAGATAAAGAGTGATTTGATTTGATTTGATTCAAGAACCGACATCACAGCACTCAGGGCATTTCCATAAGCGCTCCGTCCCCATCTTCAGCAGCCAGCGAAGAGTTCCGATACTAATGGTGCCAGTAGCATTCTGATTAAACGTCCGTCTTGCCTTTCCTCTGAGCATCAAGCATCTGCCAGAACCTCTTGTCACCCCCAACTGCAGCAATCTCACCACACTGTGGTGATCAATCTGCTCCTCCGAACTGTACAAGCTCTCCCACAAGGCACTAACCACGTCTGCCTTATCATGCATCAGTATTTCACCAAGCTGTGCAGAGCTAGCCAGTGTGTTCGCCTGTTCATTTCCCAACACACCAGCATACCCTGGTGAAAAAATCCAGACAATACTCCTCACCCTTGTCTTCCGCAGCGAGGCATGCCACTCTAAAGAAAAAAGAAGTGAGTTAAACAAACTCACTTAAAGATAAAGAGTTTTCTTACCTAAAGCTAGGAATCGGTGAATGGCATAAAACTCATCATAGACTCCTGCAACAAATACCATGTCTAGATTTTCTAAGGAGTCGCCGTGGCTGAGCGGCTAGACACTCGCCTGTGGATCAGAAGGACGTGGGTTCGCTCCCTGGCAGAGCCAAACTTTTGTCAAAAATTACCCTGGCTCCTAGGTCGACCCAGCCTTAAGTTGGTTCCAGGTGCAGTCCCAGGAAGTAAAGGTGACAAGCACGATGCTGACTACATCACCCATCTTGTGCTGATTGGTCTAAAAATATAAGTCTAGCCTTATATGCGTGGAAAACAGTTCTTTACTTTTTCTTTTTACTAGATTTTCCAGAAAAAGACAGCTTGGACATTTTATAATGAGGTCAAATACCAGGTTAGCTTCACCCCAGAAATAGGAAATCATCATTTAGACATTGTTACCCTTACTTCCGACTCATCATATTTATATAAAGATAAAACAACACACAAACTGTTTAATTAGGAGACACTTTTATTCAGCAATTTCATTTTCCCCAGGCATTCTATAGAAATGTAAATATACATTCTTATTTTATTATTCTAATCAGTCATAGCTTATTTGTCATTTGATCAATGTCACAAATCACTTAACTCTTTGAGTCCCAAGGAATGCATCATACGTTCATAGATTCCTACCTAGAGGCCCAATGAATGCATGATGCACTGATTTTACGTCTCTTTTGATACCCCTTGTGCCTGTGATGCGAAACCCCCTGGGACTCAAAGAGTTAATCAAAGTATTCTTTGACACACGTTGCAGCCATATGTTTCCATGAACCCATCACTGGGGCCACAGTCAAACACTTCAGTGTCTCACATCATCATCCCTTCTCCAAGTCTGTCATGTAAGTACAATCTGGCACTTTAGTCGATCAGTCAGGTGCCATCTCTACAATGAAGGTTTGATACAGTGGATTTTTAACACTGCCCTTTGTCATGGTTGTAAACTTTGGCAGTGTTACCACTGACCCCACTCGTTGGAATGTCAGGACCAAACTGAGAAGCCATGCCTAATGCATGCTTTTCCAGTACTGCCATGCTAGGTACCCCAGTGCAACAATGTGCCTAATGTGCACAAGGAGATCGTGCCCATTTGTGTGGACCTAGTTAGTTAGTTAGTTAGTTAGTTAGTTAGTTAGTTGGGTTATCGTCATTGCACTCCGGACATGTCCATAGGTGCTCAGATCCTCCCCTCAGTATGAACCCCAACGTCCGATGGCTAATAGTACCAGTTCTATGTTGATTGTGTGGACCTGCACGCAATAAGGGCCTCTCCTGTTGATCTACAAAGGGTGTATGCAGCTCATAATGTCTGAAAAGCTCAATATACGGATGTGGGGTTAAGCAGTCATGTGCAGGATGTGACGATTCCTTGGGTAAGCAGGCAAAATGCAATTAACGTCATTCAGATGAACAAACATATAACTGACTCTTTCAGTCCCAAGCCACTCCCCACGCATTTACTGGCTTTTTTGCTTAAAAAAAAAAACAACTAATGTCTTAGCTATTTGTAACACCGACTCAATGTACATCTAGTTGCTTTAACCCTTTCTGTCACGTAATGTTTATGTTTTAATTACTTCGGGTAGAAATATTTATTAGTTGAAGCAACAATTTATTATGACACCATGAATCAAAATAACATATGCTTGGGAAAAAAAGCAGAAGGATGGAGAATTGTGATTTCTGTCAGGGTAAAAAAACAAACATATAATCTGCACCCTTCTTAGCGACTGCACCAACCATGCGACCCTAAATCCTCAGGCTCACAACATCTTGTCCTCTGCAGTGAAGAGGGCTCTAGGACTGACCCAGCCTCACAGAATTTGCCGCTGGAGAAGTTTCTGAATTTTTTCTGAGAAGGAAAAGTGATGAGGAAGGGAAAGTCATTGAGTTATGAGCAGGGTTATCTTCACAGCACACCGGACATGTCCATAGATGCTCAGATTCTCGCCTTCGAACATATACATCAGCATCTTGCCAGTCTGTATGCGGGTTAACAAGACTGCTTATTTGTCCGGCGTGTCTCTACTGTTTGGCTGTGCCGACCCTTACGTCCAGGTCTCCCCTTCTTAGCACTTATGTGGACATGCAGCTCACAAAAATCCTCAAATCATCCTACCTCTCTGGTGACGTCACGGGGTTGGGCTAACGATGGGTTTATGCAGGGGTTCTTAAACAAGAAATAAACTATTTTTGACGGTGGCGAGGGAAGACTTAAATTTTAACTTTTAAGTACCTTCATGGTTTTTTTATAATTTCAGGGTGCCTCGGCACACAGTTTAAGAACCGTTGCTTTAACGCATCGTTAGCTCGACCCTGTGACGTCAGCAGCACGGCATGTCAGCTGCATCTGGTCGTGTTTTTTACACATCTGAAACAACCGTAAACATAACTACCACAAAACCAATTATATGCACACCATCATAATATCAAAAGGGCCAGCACATTACAATAAAACAACATTTTCATCAATTTTATTCCTGAAACAAGTCCCTGTAAAAGTCTGCCAAAACAGGTACTTATAATGTAAAAGATGTCATTTAAGAACTCTTTACAAATACAAGTAATGTACTTTCATGCCCCTAGGTATGGCCACTTGCACTTGATACATGATCTAAAGCGGTAGCCAAACATTTAGGACCACCTAGTAAATCTTCTTCTTTGTGGTCACCAGCTGTAAACTCTGGTGGAAAGTTCTGGTTATTCATCAACTTCTGGACTGCAGTCCTGTTCCAAAACCCGAGTGTTGCATGTGCATCTGTTTTACAGATTTGACTCATTCGTGTGCAGACTGCTGGTTCATTGCCTCTCAGGCAGATGCACTCCGACTTCGAAAGAAGCTCCCAATTAGTCGACTCTTACGACATGCTTTTGGGGAGGCAGTGGGTCTCTTCTTGTTTTACCTATAATAGGGCCCTGGAACCCACACGGGGAACCTAGTAAATGATAATTCCCTACTATTAGGGAGTACTGCATCAACTGGTATTTTAGGATAGAAAGATGATGGCAGTGACTGCCTTTAGTGGGATTAAAATTAGCAGTGGATGCATTATTAGGTTACAGCATGAAATCTATTTTACTGGGTGGTCTTACACTTTATGCCACCGTCGTAGCTAAGATCCTACCAGCTTTCATTACATCCCAGGACCTTTGCTGGTAACCATTTGACTCTTCTTACAAAATCGGCACTCAACCGGTATTGCTGTCAACATCACACTGACTGCCTTTACTTTCCAAGTGCCTATTTTAGGCTAGGTGGACATTTCAGATAACCATCTAGGCAAAGTGTTGCTGCAATGGTAATATTTTATAAACTTTATTATTTAAATTTTCCATTACCAAACATTTTATCTTCTGACAAAAGTCCTATTGGTATCTATTACCTCAACAGTTTTTCTTTTCTTTGTATAAATATTGTATTTTACATGCCAATTCACTCTACATAGCAGTTTACGTAACAAATTTTTCATTAATTAGTAAATCACTTATTTGTTCTTAATCCTTCAGTATAAATTATTCATAGAAAGTGTCCATTTTGACTTATATTTATGCTAAGTAATTATTTTTGAGCAATAATTATTCAATGGTTACATAACTTGCTAATGAAAAAGTTTATTGTTCTGTCATGTACATAAGCTGAACAGATTTGTTAATGTTGAGTAGTTTCCCCATTTCAGCTAACTAACCTTGATTTTAATTTGTTAAAAAAGTGGTGCTTGTAAATATCAAATAAGAAAATGTGCAGCTGTTTATTCTGCAGCTGCCCTACCAAATGTACATCAAAGCCTGCATCTTCTACTCTGAGAAAGCAAACATCTGAAACTATTTAGAAAACTGAACTACCACTGAACAAACTGTTAAAAAATACAACAATCGACAACACTAACTTCTATTTTACTGTTTAGCACAATTTCCATATCACAAAACCAATTTCATGCCATACAACATACAGCACTGCAGCTTTCAAACAATTGCCCTTTTGAATATATTTAAACATAACTTCCTATCAAGATTTTGATGGCAAAGTCCTCTTCAGGTACCATACTGCACCTACGACGTCACAGTGGTCCTGAAACATGAAAAGAAAACAGCATTCAAATAAAAGTGTGCACTAATTTAATGTTTCTAACAGACCTATTCATATTCTTCGTATGCAGTCTTCTGGATAGTTTGAAAAATGACATCATCCTCTCAGCTTGATGGAGAGAATCTCTTAAGTGTATCTATTTGTGGTGAGGCAGCTGAGGTGATGGAGTAACCACTAGAATAAAGGAATGAGGCAAACAAGTCTGGGAAATGCAGCTTAGGTGATGGAGTAACCACTAGAATAATAGAATGAGGCAAACAAGTCTGGGAAATGCAGCTTAGGTTATGGAGTAACCACTAGAATAAAGGAATGAGGCAAACAAGTCTGGGAAATGCAGCTTAGGTTATGGAGTAACCAATAGAATAAAGGAATGAGGCAAACAAGTCTGGGAAATGCAGCTTAGGTGATGGAGTAACCACTAGAATAAAGGAATGAGGCAAACAAGTCTGGGAAATGCAGCTTAGGTGATGGAGTAACCACTAGAATAATAGAATGAGGCAAACAAGTCTGGGAAATGCAGCTTAGGTTATGGAGTAACCACTAGAATAAAGGAATGAGGCAAACAAGTCTGGGTAATGCAGCTTAGGTGATGCAGTAACCACTAGAATAAAGGAATGAGGCAAACAAGTCTGGGAAATGCAGCTTAGGTTATGAAGTAACCACTAGAATAAGGAATAAAATGTGAAGTGAACTCCAAAATATATGGAGTGGCACAACAAAGGTAACAAATAAGAGTGTAACCAAATACAGCTGAGGGAAATGAGTATCTAGCAGAATAAATGAATAACAATTAGGATAGAAAACTGCATTAAATAGAGGTAAGACACAGGCAAGACAAGTTGTGGTGAGGTGCATGACCCCCACTGATGCACACAGCTTCGTTTCCAATGGAATGCCGACTGGCTAACCCAGGATTTCTCTATTTCAATGCAGAGAGCCTGTCTGAAGCACATGTTCAGTATTCTGTGTTGCCTGTCCACAAGGGCAAAGTTCTGAGTCCATAATCTTGAACACTGCAGCAACTATTCTGCCCAGTCCAAATCTAAAAACAATGCTGCTGCTATCATCTGAGGAGGCTGACCAAGTGTCCAGGATTTTTTTTCTGGACAGGAAATTCCCCGTGTGGGTTCCAGGACCCATCTGTGGGGGGTGGGGGGACAGACCCACTGGTCCCCCATCAAGCATGCTGTAAAAGTCGACTATTGGGGGCTTCCTTCAAGTTGGAGTTCATCTGCCTAAGACGCAAAAACCAACAAACAGTCTGCATACCAATAAGCATGATATGTAATACAGATGTGCACACACAACACTCTGGTTCAGGAAGAATAAAGTCCAGAGGTGGACAAATAACTAGAACTTTCTGCCACAGTTTACAGCCGGTGAACGCCAAGAAGGATATGAAGTGTTCAAATGAGCTCTTATAGCTGTCTTGATCTGGGTTTTATCTTCCTCATAAATGTATCCTGTATCTGGCTGTTCTGTATTACTTCCCCATTCGTGGTAACTTGTCTGGTCTTTCATTTCCCGAGGTAATATACAAGGGTGTACCAAATGCAGTTTAGTGGGCTGAACATCCAGTAGAATAAGTGGTCAATACTGAACAAGAGAACAACAGGCACTAGATGGTTGTAGACAGCCTGAAGCTGCTATCACAGAAGGTGGTAATAAACAAACAATGATAATGCAGAAGGTAACTGGAAACCATTGAATTTCAGCCAACACAAGGGTATTGTATAATAAACCACACAAAAATGAGACACAGAAAGTGACTGTGAATGTTGAACCAATTTAATAACTTCAAAGCACAGAATAAACTTACCTTCAAGAATTTTTTTATCTCTGTTTCTGAAAGGTCAATGCCAACATCTTTTGCACGAGAGCGGAATAAAGTACTTCGCAGTTTGGGAGATTCTTCAAACAGATTGAAAAGAATCTTGCGAAGCTGTTGAAAATAAATACAAAACACATAAAACGTGAAGTCCATGTTGCAAAACTAAACCAGACTAAATTAAATTAGGTTATGCTGACTGAGTATCAACAGTTACTCTCTACCTTATGTCCTCTTGGTGCGATGAGGACCAATTGAAAATACTAAAAAAGGGGCGATTGCAACCAAGCTGTTACAAGGAGAGTGTGTGCCTCTTCTTTTCTTTGCCATCATTCAGCCTCAGAGTCATAATCTATATTGTTTTAACCTTGAAATTAAATGTTTTATATTCCCTGTGTGGGTTCGAGGGCACCATTATAAGGAAAACAAGAATAGACCCACTGTCTCCCTAAAAAGCATATCGTACGAGTCAACTATTTGGGCCTTTCTTAGAAGCCAGAGTACATCTGCCTGAGAGGCAGGAAATCAACAGTCTGCATTAAAAGAGTCAGATCTGTAAAATGGATTGTGCACACACAACACTCAGGTTCTGGAAAGACTCAAGTCCACCGGTGTATGAACAAATGGAACTTTCCACCAGAGTTTACAGCTGGTGAGCGTGAAGAAGAAGAATAAGAATATGCCCAATACGCCTGAAGTGTTGCAAAGTCCTTTTCTTGTATGTTTTTTTAGCGTTAGGTTTCATATGCTCAGGTCAGACCTAAGGTGGGTTACCTCTATGAACTCGCATGTCAGTAGAAGGTCCTTCATGTTTCCCTATAGTCTTATCTACACACTTTGCTCTGTGGGCCAGGTGTCTTTTCACAAAGTTGTTTGTAAAGTGGGCAGGTCTGCAGAATGTGCTCAGGTGTTTGTGGTCCTGTTTGACAGGCACACTGTGGGACTACAATCTGAACTGGATGTAGCATAAGCTCTAAACTACCTTATGTTGAGACCTCCATAGATATATTCAGTACTGATCAGATTTTACAAGGTACTTTGGTTATATAAAAAGACAGTTCCTTGTTACATAACGTGCTGAATGCAAATTTGAAGAGGAACCTGCAGAAAGAGATGTTCAGGTGAACAAAAATATAACACAGACAAGAAGAAGCTTATGTGAATGTATCATGAAAATACATGGTAAGAGGGGCTGAAGAGTCATTACAGCCAACCTTCAAATACAAGGACAGCTCCTGATGATGACGATGTGTCTCAAATCTCGCTCTAAAGAATTTTCAGTCTCATTTGTTAGCTCCCCCCCTCCCCTCAATACACCCCCAACATTATTTCAATAAATACTCAATATTTCAACTGGAACACCACTAAAGAAACTTTATGCATTATGACCTGAGGAGGCAAAAAGGAATGATTTTTCTTACCTGGTCAATTTGATTATCCCCAGTCAACGATGAAAACATCGGTTCAGGTTTTCGATTTGATGGCCACTGAAGTAAAAAAATTTTTATTAAATTAAAAATTTCTTTACGCAGCACAATTAAACAAGTAAATGTGAAACAAAAACAAAAGAAGAAGCCTCATCCAAGACAGTTTAATGCCCAAAATATCTTTATATTATCAGCTCAGCTAGATTACAAATAACTATGATGAGTTCCTAGCATAACTCTTTCTCCGTTTTGTTGTTACTATTGAAATGACGAATGATTAATATGCTAGTCAGTAGAATGGATTAAAAAAGAGTCAAAGAAGAAAACCTAATGTAGGTGGATTACTTTCAAAATAAGTTTAAGAAAGAGCAGAAGATGAAATAATAATCAAAGTGGGTTAATTATAAATGTCTTTTTCGTGTTCACTAGCTGTAAACCCATGCAGAAAGTTCCAGTTGGTCATCCCGACTGACTTTTTACCCCACCAGGACATCACATTGAGCGACAAACCCCCCTGTGACACAAAATGCCACCATTTGGATGAGGATAACCCGAGATGTCCCAGAAACCTGGTCCCACACAATGGGATCTCGGAACCCACAAAGGGGAAAATTAATATATAATTCACAAGCAAGCAAATTAAAGTAGAAAAAAAAATACACAACTTAGATGGGTTCATTAAATCCAACACAACTATCCAAGAGAATTGAAACTACTAGAAACTAAAACAAGTGGCTGGGACACACAAAAAAAAGGTTAACATTAAACATAAATATACGTAGGTGGGTAACCACATTAGTGCAGCGGCTAGCACATTTACTTATTGGCCTAGCAGTCTATATTTGAATATAATGTACCACAGCCACAAGGCATGAAACTGGGTTCTTTACTTTTTGTTAACCATGCCCCAAGGGAACATGAAAGAAAAATTATCCCAAGTATAAGTATCTGGGGGTTCAATCCCAGCTGTGGGCCATGCGCCCTATGTTGGTTTCAACAGTGGTATCAAGAAAGCTGACCGTTCAGAAAGCAATGGCAAACTACTGGACGTAAATTTGCCTAAAAAAACCACACAACAGCCAGGGACTGTTAGGGTCGGTTCTGCAACGTCCTGTAAAGGATACGTAACTAACCTATTAAGTATCTGGGCCCATCAAAGATGCAAACAGCTGAGGAATGGACAGTGAGAAGCAAAAGGAACATTCATAATCTGTTTAAATCACCATTAATTACTGGCATCAGCAGGGCAAACATGTTGCAGTGGTAGGGAAATATACAGATAATGGACATTCATGATACTGGAATGATACAGGTATTGAGGTGGTCTCAAGGGGAAAAAATGACATAGACCATGTTGTGAGGAGGAGACACATCAGGAAGGGAATGAGAATGAAAGAAGAAATGACTGCAGAAAGGATGAGAGGTGAGTGTCAGAAAAGAAACAGACTAAACATAAATGCTGACAACAGTAGTGAAATCCCATACTATAACTGATGAAGACTTTTCTTATCACTGGCGGGTTTTGCTACGACCCATGCCTCTGGAAAAATTGAAAGGTGCCAATCAATCATAGAGAGAAAGGCAGAAAACAGAGAGACAAAAGCTGTGTACATGAAAGAGCTGAATAGGAGTAGACTACAAGATAAAGCAAGAAGATGGTGAAGAGATACAAGGTCCGACAATTAAGTAATGAGACTGATTTTATTATGGTCAAGAAAAAAATGCCATCTATGAATCAAAGCATGGAATCCAAAGAGGCAACCTTCGTCTATGATCTGGCAACTTTTTATCACTACCTGATAAGCAGACAACAAACAAGCCGCCATTTTGTTAACCTAGTCAAAGGTGCATTGTTACGTAATCAGCATGGAGCAAAAAAGCTAACATTAAATTCTGTTTAAAACTCAAAAAAGGCGCATTGTGCAAGTTGAATTGATGCGACAAGTTTATGGTGATAATTGTTTATCTCGTGCACAGATTTTTAGCTGGTATTCATGATTTAAAAGTGTTGTGGAAATGATTACTAATGCAACTAGACCTGGACGCCCAATTTCTGTTCGTAATGAGGAACTCACTGCAAAATTCTGAGAACGGATACAAGAAGATCGTTGTGAGGATGATGATAGATGAATTTGGTGTTAATACAGAGACTATATGTAAAATTTTAGTAAAAGATTTGGGAAAGAAAAAAGTTGCTTGTCAATTTGTATTGAACACCTGGTAATTTTTTCCCTTCTTCCTGACAATGCACCAGCTCAAAGAGCGATAGTGGTACAGGAATTTTTTTTTTACATAAAAAAAGATGCGTGTTCTCAACCATCTACCCTATTTCCCAGATTTGTCTCCCTGTGACTAGTTTCTATTCTCAAAATTAAAGTTGTCGTTGGAAGGACGCTTCTTTGACAATATTGATGGCATCCAAAGGTCGGTAACATCGACTTTAAGGGCCATAACTACAGAAGAACTACGCACAAGAGGCTTACTTTGAATAAAATACAGGTTATATCTTCAACTGTTGATTATTTTAATATTCATGGAATTATCTCATTACTTAATTGTCGGACCTTGTACAAATAGAGACCTACAATCATTTGGAGTCATCAGCTAGGAAGAGAAGGTTATTACAGAGATCAATAAAGGCAAGTGATAACTGCAGCAATGAACCTCAAGGGCTCAGAATGCTGAAGAAGAAAAAGTTAAGAAGATAAGTATTTGCTGCTGCTCACCTGGTTCTTCAGCCTGAAACCGCCAACAGCAGCAACAGCATCCTCTATCATCTTATCAGACACACCGGTGGTGAACACGTGAGCTGAAGGCACACGGGCTGTATACAAGGACAGTTTGCTGCGGAGGTCAGACATGCACAGGGTGCTGCTTTCGGACAAAACTTCCCTGGCAAACTTCTCTAGTTCAGACATCAGTACGGAACTATCACAACTATTCTGCCCGCTGGTGGCATAGGAGGTGTGCATTTTCCCAATGTGAGGTAGGGAGAGGCCATTCTGTGAAAGACCTGAAGAATGCCCGTTGCCATTTAACGTGACATCCTTATCCAGAATATTTCGGCAAGATGGATTCTCTAAGATTTTGTGCTTCTCGGAATGGTCAATCTCCACGTCACTGACGTCTGACTGGGACCTCCCACTGAGTGTGCGTTTTCTGGGTGAGCGGCTTGAGAGTCGCCGGCTGCGAAAACGTTCTGTTGGCTGCTGGTTCATCAGGGCTATTTCCAATTCTGATTTGAGAAATTACACAAAATTGTCAGCTTAAATCAACAGTGGACACCACAGAAAGTCCATAGATATATGACACATTATCTCCAAATGTTTATGGAAATCCACTCAAAAAATAAAAACAGAAAACTCAATTATGGATAGGGTACATACCCAACAAGAGGGGAAAAAACCCAATAAAAGCAGTGGACATCAAAGCAACACCATAGATATATGACAGATCATCCCAAAATGTTTATGAAACCTCAAAAAATAAGAGACTTTATTATAGGAATATGGCACATATCTAACAAGGAAAAAAGACACAGATATCCCTACAACAAAGCTATCAGTTTTCTGTCTCCACAATGAAGTTTGCCTGCCATAGGTCTCTTGACAGTTTTGGTCTTTCAATTGATTGTAGGTTCTCAGTCTACTGTTCATCTGTTTCTTAAAATCATGACATCTATCAATGTCTGCCTATTGCTCACCTACCTTCAACCTTCCCCTCCAGTAGGGTATTTTTTTTAAGTGTCATGATCTTTTGATTTAACTGAAATATTTCTCCCCCCCCCCCCCCCCCCCCCCCAAACTCTTTATTGTTTCAAAGACTGTATTTGACGGCAGACATTTCCATCAAAAATAATAAACTCAGAAATACTATAATAGCATCTAAACAGTCAGCTCTCGGTATCACAGTCAAAACCAGCAAAAGACAAATTGGCTGCAGCAGGGATCGAACTCGGCACACCGGCATTACGAAGCGTGTTCTCAATGTTTAAGCCACTTATGCCGGCTCACAACTCCAAATACTAATAAATTATGACTGTTGTTTAGAAAGGCACCTTCTGCCCACTTGTAGTCTTGTTAATGAACTTTTCTGCAAGTAAGCGCTTGCATTACCTTCATCCTTTAATATCTAATTCCGGGGTTTACAATCTCTATTTCTATCCATCAGGTTTCATACTGTCAGTCCCTTTCTTATTTGTAACAAATTTCACCTCAGATCTGCTTATTTTTCTTCTTCTTCCTGTTCACCAGCTGTAAACTCTGGCGGAAAATTCTGGTTGTTCATCCACTTTCGGACTGCAGTCCTGTTCCAGAACCTGAGTGTTGCGTGTGCCCCCCGTTTTACACATCTGACTCTTTTGTTTGCAGACTGCTGGTTCCTTGCCTCTCAGGCAGATGCACTCCGATTTCAAAGGAAGCTCCCACTTAGTCAACTCTTACGACATGCTTTTGGGTAGGCAGTGTTCTATTCTTGTTTTCCCTATAATAGGGCCCCGGAACCCACACAAGGAATCTGCTAATTAATTATACTCTTTATGTAGCTAACTCAACAATTTTAAAACAGTCATACCTAATGCTTTCTTATCTCCATCTTTGGGTAACTTGAAATGTAGGGCTAAATTGTGGAAAGTCAATGACCACTTGTTTCTCTGACGCTGTACAATTTCTGGATGTCTGAAAATGTATAAACGAAATGGTGTTGCCAAACTACACATTCTTAATTACAGTCGAAAATGTGCAGGCAATCAGAGGACAGTCTCCTTTACTTGTAGTTAGTGGTCTCAACCTTCCTTTAACAAATTTATTTGCCATGAAAAGCATTTGCCTGCAGATTTACTGCCCAAATCTGGGCTCTTTAAGAAATTGAAGCAAGTAAGAGTTTACTGAACCAATTAAAAGTGCCACAATAAAAATACCGCCAATCATCACAACAAGCTAACACTTACAGGGCAGATGAATGGAATTTATCAGGACACCAAAGAATTAATTAAACACTGAATTCCAAAATTGCATGCCTCAGATAAACTGAACAGAATGGCTACAATGAAAATGTTCTAAGATGTAAGAACAGCTGGATGATCCCGACCACATGAACCACTGAGTACTTGGTGGTCTTTAAAAATTTTGGTCTAGCATCATTACACGTACAGAATAATTCACTTATTTAGGTAGTAATTTTGACAGTAAAGGAAATACAAAGAAAGAAATTATGACAAGCACTGGCAAGGCATCAGCAGCTCTTATTAGCTTGAACAGAATTTGCAACTCTAAATTGTAGTTTTAAAATTAAGCTGTGTATTTTCAATTCTAATGTTATTTCAGTTTTAATAAGTTGGAGAACCACTAAAGAAACGAAACAAATGTTAATTAAATCCATTCGAAAACAAAGGTCTCAGGAAAATGATGAAAATAACATTGGATGAATTAAAGAGGAATAAAGATACAAAAGAAATGTCTGGACAACCACTAGTATAAACAGTTGTAAAATAGGAGATGGCGCTAAATTGGACACATCTTGAAAAGAAACCAGCAGAGAATCACCAAACAAACATTATTATGGGAAATTAAGGGCCTACGGAGAAACCCCAAGAGGAACATTGGTGAGAGAAGCCAAAACTGCTGGACTGGATCCCACCCATGATTTTGAACTGATCGTACTAGATACAACAGAATGACGCAGACTGCGAGCCCTAATGTGACATATAACAGAACAAAAGGATAATGAATGAATGAAATCAATACACAGCTTAGAAATGGGTCCTCCTCTGTATCTTCTACCTTGAAGATTAAACTTGACACACTACACTGGTTAAGCAAGGACACAAAGCATGTCCCTTTAATACATGGGTCAACTTCAGAAAATAACAGTTCTCTATTAATCATAAAATTCATTTCTAAACACAACTTCTGAATCATATGCTCAGAGTTTAGATATAAAATAACATCACCCTAAGACAATTAGGAATACACATACCGTTCGCAAAAATCTCGATCATAATCATAGAGAAACTCCCAGCCAGTTCTTGCTTTCAAGCGAGACATCTTTTCCAGGATTTCTTTAACTTCATCTGATGGCAACTGAAAAAGAAAAATCATTTTCACATTATCTATCAAATGTTTGTAACTGTAAAATGTATAGTGTATACTTCTTTTACCTAATCACAGTATAGTGAATGCTGAAAATTATGTCAGTACTAAAAGACCCAAAAGTATCTTCATCAAGGAGCAGGAATCTGGCCATAAAGCTCCCAACACAACCCATCAGAAAGCCTCTAGATCCCTTATCACTTCTGCTTCATATATACTGTTGGGTCAAGGTTACCCTAATGTTCTGTATCTGCTGTCATTCCCCACCTCTAATTCCATTTATCTTCTCTTCCATTGCTGCACTTTCTAAAACATTGCAATGTTCAACCATTTCACCCTAGAAACCCTCCGAAGAAAAAGCCACATGCTTGGAATTTTAGCAAAAAATGCTCTTTAAAAAAACAAGAACAAACATGGGTCACAAATAAATTCTTGTAACATTAATCATAATATATATTATAAAAGAAATATGCGAAAAGGGATAATCAACAAAAACAAAAGGGTGGATAATTAAATGACTAGTCATTCTGGGCCTATAAACACAATTCAGGCAGGTGCTCATACCATTATTTTGTGACCTCTGTAACTTAATGCTAAAGGAAATACAACTTATCCCTTAACTTCCCTCAAATACTATTCTTAGTTAATATAATCACATCTCGACCTTCTACACACTGTGTAGGTGCAAAAAGAACCAATGCCGTTGACCAGGCTTTTGAGGACTGGCCCGAGCATAAATGCTGGTTAAACAGCTTCTCTGGGATAATAACGGATGGATACACCCGGCAAGGCATATCAAAATGAAAACACTGACTAGATTATAACAATATACAAAACATATGCTCTTTATAAGTCTATTTTCTCCAAAGTTCAAATCTTAGGACGTCCCCAGAAGAAAATAACTAAAATGTCAAAGGTTTTAACGAAACAAAGTGTACATTTCTAAGATACAATGATTTAACAAAGACACAGTATTTTTTATTAATGGAAACAGGAGAGACAAATACCTGAACTATGGATGAGATGTCTTTCCTAACAACATGCTTGTTATGTGTGAATTTCCACATCTGAAAGAAAAAACACCATTATATTTTTACAATTATGTACCAAAATTCGAATGCTTGTTATTGTAAAAAGACAATAACAAGATAAAACATGAACCGACAAACATGAACAGGCTAAACTACTGTAGTCACTGGGTTATCACAAAGACTGATCAAGAGAGAGATGCAACAATCTTGATGTGCAAATGATGTGAAATCGTCTTCTTCTTTATTCACCAGCTGTAAGTTCCGGCGGAAAGTCCTGGCTGTTTGTCAGTTTGGACTTGTGGCCTTGTGCCAGGGCCTGAGTTTTGCGTGAACATCCGTTTTACTGGCTTATGTGTGTGCAGTTGGACGTTCTTGGCCGCTCAGGCAGATGTACTCCGACTTCGACGGAAGTCCTCAGTTGGTCAACTCCTACGACATGCTTGTTCTGGAGGCAGTAGGTCTATTCTTGTTTTATCCACAATGAGGCCCTGGAACCCACAGGGGGATGATGTGTCTGAGTGACATAATTACATTGTGACTGTTTACAGCAAAGCTGCTATATGTGAGCCTTTTGGCCGACAGATCTGACTGCATTTGCTGCACATTTGCTGAGTGAGTTAACTTCCCGGAAAACAATTCAATTAAAATTAACTAAAATCATAAATGAGCACAATACTGGAAAATGAAAAAAAATATGCTGAAGACAATGAGAAAGCACTGATGTGCACGTATGACAAATGAGTGTACAGTTACAGTTATGAGACTGAACAAAGAAAAATGTAGATACAAAAAAAAATATTCAAGTATGTAAACACACCTTTAAAATGCTAAGAATTAACAATTACCTGTCAACATAAAGAAACATGAGACTTGTGGTTACATAGTGAGACTAGCTTAGGTAAAAAAAAACAAAGAAAACAAAAGCAACAACAACACTGACAACAATAATAGAGATAGATGTGATAAATAAACAAACAATATACTAAATTCGGCAATGAGTTTTAAGGTCAGCTTCAAATAACACCCAGATTTTGAAAATTAGTAATTTTAGAATCAGCATCAGAGCACACCAGGTATACTCACAGATGCTCCATCTTCCAGAGCAAATGACTTTAAGTGTAGGAACTGACTTTAAGTGTAGGAACTAACTGTTCCTGTAGCAGGCTGAATATACAAACGATGTTGCCCTTACAAGATTATTACAGCCTGGAGAGAATGAGGCACCTGGGTGTAACCAGAGGGTCTGGCCGGCTCACTACACTCAGAGGAAAGGCAAGATAGACTTATAACCAGATTGTGACCGGTACCATCGGTACTGGAACTCTGCGCTGGCTGCTGAAGACAAGGACGGACTACACATGGAAATACCCTAAGTGCTGTGATGTCAATTCTTAACTCAATGTTGTTGCCTTCCTCTCATTTGTCCTTCCTTGCCAGATCCACTCATAATTCCAAGTTTGCACATTCTTACATGTGGTATTCACTATTCAATCTAACCTTGTGTCTTCTATCAGCATACATTCATAAATGGTCTTCAATTGTCACCTTTGGCCATTATAAGCATTCCTGGAGTTATGACTTCTGTAGCAAACATAAAACCCGCTCATTCACCCTTTGCCCACCGGCATGTTCCAGACAGTATTTCCATGGGACATATATCTGAAAAATTATCTACAAAGAAATAAAACAACAACTCACTGCATAATCCCTAACTCTTCTCATGAGTTCTGGAGATACTGTACTGTGAAATCTTCGCTTTTTCGTTGTTTCTCCTTTTTCTTCATCAGGATAGACAAGTTCACTGAAATAATAAACAAGCAGTGATAATTTTAGAGTAAACAGAAGATAAACAAGACAGCACACAGGACAAGTGGGCTCGAACAAATAATTACAACTTAGCAGCTGACATCTGTAGGTTCTGCAACAAGTTTCACATTATTATTATTTTTCTGCAGATATCACCTGCCTCAATTCATCTCAGTGACTCCCCATTATTGGTTTTGAGTAACAGAAAACAGGTTTTCAAAAGCAGAAGAAATGTGTGTGGGTTCAATGCAAAAGCAAACGGATGACGTTTAGTGTAGTAAAGTATTGAAAACAATACTACAACATATAATTTGAAAATGGAGGTGGAGGCGGTCAAAGCATCCTTCCACTGGTTTGAGAACCAGCTGCACACAATGTCGTGGCTGTAACCAACTAACAAAGCATGTTAAGAAAGAAAGGTGGAGACGGGCTTGCTCAGTGCAGAGTGGCAAGCATTGCTTCAGAAGTTCTTCATAGTTAAGGGTTCTTTGGACATTTTTCCTGGGAAAAGTAGGACTACTGAGAAGTTAACAGACAGGCAGACTGGCTGGTTCTGCACCTATAGGTGGTAAATTTATGCATGACCAGTTAGAGTGTTGAAGGCCCTTTGGGGGCAAGTGAAGAATGCAGAGGAACTAATAGATCATTATCATCTGGAGTGAACGTCTAGGAGTGAACAGGGGATCTGGCAGACACTACACTCACATGAAACTCAAGAAAGACATATATCAAACTGCTACTGGTACAATCAGAATTGGAACTCTTTGCTGGCTGCTGAAAATGAAGATCTTACGGGAATGAGTGCTATGTTGTCAGTTCTAAGCTCAACAGTCAAGTCAAAAGCAAATCTTACAGATGTCTATGTATATTGGTACATCTTCTGCTTATAATGCAAGCCATGCTGTATTGGTAATCATATCTGTCTTTAACTCTGCACTGCAAATAATTTAAGAAACAGATGTTATCCAATGCCAGGAGGTCAGACTGTCCAACATTCTCTTTTGGTCTTGCACTGTCATTCTCCTCCTCCAATTTTCATGTTGTCACATTAAATTTTCCCACTTCACAGGACATGCCTAAAGAACAATGTCTGTCTTTTTTTGATGCGGGTAATTGATTATGTTTTGAATTAACCTCATTTAAGTCATCATTATATTTTTCATAACCCTGGTGTCCCCGACTATTCCATAAAACTTAATCCTAGCAGCTTTCACAAAGTTTTACTATTTTTATTTTGTGTACGTTGAGTATTATAAGACATAAGTTCACTGCGTGGTCTCGAGGCTTTAGTCCGTCTCGAGTGCTAGAGGTTTCGGGTTCAATCCCCAGTTTGAGCTGGGATTTTTTCACGTGGGCTTGGACTTATAGTAATTCCCACTGGTCTCTGGGTAGTGAGATCGGACACCCATGTGCATTGTTGTGCACATTTAAAAAATCCCTTGGCAGTTACAAATTGAAAAGAGTAATCTACCCAAAGTATTTCAGGATCCTCGCCGGTGCTACTACAGAGCATGTGCACTGTGCTGAACTTCATCGGGCTTAGACTTGAGTTAGAAGAAGAACAGAGCACTTATGGGTTACACCCGTGTGCCATGATGTTGATCCGGTGTTCAAAACTTCACACACACACCAAAAAAACAGAAGTCCACCTAGAACTTTTTGCTAGAGTTTACAGCCGGTGGATGTGAAGAAGAAGGGAAAGATGAACAAGAAAGCCATCTCAACAATAACCAGTCTCAGATCACTTTTATGTTCTTGTCCTAATGACATGTGACCAGGCTATTCAGGTATTTATCTTGTTACCCTTTGCTGTGTTCCTAATAATGTTCTCAGTTATCACAAGGTTCTGAATGTTATTTATATTCTGATCTGCTGGACTAGGTTCCAATGCTGATGCAGATGTTACATTTTCATTGACTTGCACCATTATTTATCACATAGGGCTTGCATTCAATTTCTCCATTATTTTCTCACCTGTGCAATCACTTCAATATCATAGACGGAAGCAAGCCAAGCACCCCTTGTTTCTTTCATCAAAATCTAGCACAGGGTCTCTCACTGATATCCTCTGTTTCCTATTTCAGGTATGTTATATGGTTGCTCAGTATTATGACACCTTTAACATTATTTCCATATTTTCTTTTAACGTGGTTTGTGTCTTTTCTGTTAGCTGATGAAAGCAATTTGTAATAGTGGTCCACACTTTCTGCTTTTCAACTGTGAACTTTTTGACAAAGCCAAGTCACCTCCCAGTTAAGTAAGGTTCACCTCCCTCCCGTGAAGTATAAGTATTAGGATATAAAAGACATTATAAATATATAAATTCAGACAATACAGCTAGGCAATGTAAAAGTTATGTAATAATCTGACCTCTTGACAACCCAACATCCTTGGACCAAAACTGCCATGCTCTGTAGGGATTTCAACACAGCCTGCTGGTCAGTACCAGGTGCAACAAAGCTCATCAGTTGACTAAATCGCATCACTTTCACTGTAATACCAATGAATGATTCACAAATATACGAGAATTAAAAATTACCTTTTAAAACATGTGTGACCAAACAATATACTAAAATTCCCCCCTTTAATTGTGTGTGCAGTAAATGGATCCAAAATTATTATCAACTCTTCTTCTGCATTCAGCTCCTCCTGGATAAACAACGTTAATGAAAATACTTTCTTTTTTACCCACACAAAATAATCCCACTTCATTTGCTTCCTAGTTTAGTCCCTCCTCTTCTACCTTAGAGTGTAGAAGTTTGCCAGAGAGATCTCTAGACTCCATTTCAATTGTGCCTTATATAATATAATGACATACATTCTGGATTTTCCCCCGAGCTTTCTGTTCTGTATAAGTCTTCTTCTTCTTCTTAGTTCACAGGCTGTAAGCTCCGGCAGAAAGCCATAGTTCTCTGAAGCCACACAGAGAGATACAGACTGTGATAAGGGATACTTGCAATTATCAACCCTTGCGGCTTAGGTGCTATTACCAACATTTATAATTCCAAATCACCAGGTCTGTTTTCAGATGCAGGTCATTTGGCAGCAGACTGTTTTGTTTTTTATTTTGACATCAGTATTAGTGTTAACCATTCACAGGGCAAAGGCAAACTACTGAGCCAAAAATTGCCAAGTAAAACCACAAACAGAGACACACACACAATGCTGGGGTTGGTTTGCGACATCCTGCAAGGGGTATGCAGGGTAAACTGCAAAATTACAAACTGGCAAGGGCAGATTTGTCTCCTTGCTTTTTTTTTTTATAAATGAACTTGGCTCCCCAGTAATTTACAGACAACTTAAAGACTGAAAAGAAATTATTTACCATTTGTTTAGTTTTAAAGATATTTGCAGATCTCAATTTATTTGGTCTCTCAAATGTTACTAAAACGCCCAGGTTTTTTCTTTATAATCTACCTATTTCTAATGTTGCAATTTAAAATATTTTATCCTTTAATTACAGACTCACCATTTATTAGCAGTGCACGAATCTGCTCATTCAGGTCAAGTTTGCGCAGTTCGTTGAGGGATAGCACATTGTCTGGCATAGCCGGTTTCTCACTTGAGGAATAAAGATATTTCTAAAGTTATTATAATTAGACTGTTGTATGTGTGTGTCATATATACAAACTATATACAATTTCTGCAAGTGAGACAAATAATATTTTTTAACAAGGCTAAATTTGGAGTAAGATACTTTTAACCATAGCACATGAAGATGCACAAGATGATGTCATACTGAATGTGATAAAACATAGTTACTTAATACAAGAACAGGAGAAAAAAACTGGTTGCCAAGGAGGGCAGACCTTGGTTAAGCATTTTTTGCTTTGAAGGCACAACACATAGTAGAAAAACTGGCTGAAGGGGGATACATTCTTCTTCATTTCGCTTGAAATAGATTATCTATATCTGCAGTGTTGTCTTTAGTACGAACTTCACTGTCTTTTATAATTCACTTAGCGACCCGTAAAGTGTGACTAACACCAATGTTTCTCTTGGCCAAAAGTTTGGCCTTGATAAAAAAGACAGTCTTGGAGGACATGATTTGTTGTCTTAGCTGCCAATCCACGTATGCACATGGCTGATTCGCCGATTTTAAATTTTGTGTACATGTGGCTGCGAAGTCAACTGTGTCCTGTTCTAAGGCTTAGAATAATAACTTGCTCTGGTCTGTCCATAAAATGGTAATTGTCTTGTGCCGGTGTTGGTGGCTTACTGATAGATTTGATTATTCTCTTCTTTTGTTGATAAGCGACTGGTACGTCAGGTTGTTCTTCATTTGCACCATACCTTCTTTAGCTAGTTTATCAGCTTTTAAATATATTTTCAGCTATTGAAGAGGGATACAGAATCTCCTTCACTTATGACCAAGGTAACTTCCAACTAATAGGTCGTGAAGTCAAATTTGTATTATTCCCCACGAATTTCATTCTAACAGATTATAAAAAATTGTAGACACAAACTTAATCTATGTATGTATAATTAGTCTCTGCTGTGCTCTAGGCATCAGTTCTGGGAACTTTTTGACCCTACCACAGTTCTTTCTTTCTTTACAATTTTTATTTACTTAGTTTTGTGTGGTAGTCAGTCAAAGAGGTCTAAGTCGATGAAAAGATAGTGTGTGTGTGTGTGTGCGCACGCGCGCCCACATGTAAATGAATAAATGAATTCATATGACAATTTAAAAAACATCTTGGGCAGGAAAGCACATGATGTGGGAGATCTGGCGATGATTATATAGAACAGAAATACCGACCCAGATGATGAACTCACACATCAAGATATAAATATAAATAAACTACAGAACAGACATAACAAAGAAAAAGAGTAGGAATACAAACAAATAATCATGCAATACCTCTTGTCTTCACTGGATGGAGGGATAAGCGCTTGCAGATATTCCTGTGGGGGGATCTTAAAATGAGACACATGAGGAGCATCTCCTGCATGTAGATGTTGCCTCTCAGCCTCACTTATTCCAGACTAAAAGGAAAAACAAAAAATTTAATAAAACATTTCCAATATATTTCTATTAATATTATTAACTACAAAGGTTAATGTCATCCCATAGTGAATACTGCTATTTGAGGCTTGGAGCTTTATACCCCAACACATTCTAGGTCATGATGTATGAGGTGTGGTGGCCAGTTTCCTTTCTTCATGGAGCTGGGTCATATCACAACATCCAGTTTGAGAATGGAGGTGGAAGCAGCCACTGCAGCTTTCCAGTGGCTTCAGAACCACACATGTTGTAAATGACACACACATCATGCTTAGAAATGGAGACAGGTATGCTCCATGCAGAGTGGCAAGCATCACTTTAGAAATCCAAGGCAGTTAGCATTCTTTGGATTTTTTCTGCAGGGATGCAGGTGTTGTGAAAAGTACAGGCAGACAGACTGGCTGCTTCAGCACCACTCAGTGATAAAATGATGCACGACAAGCCCCTCAGGGTGCGAGTAAACAGTGTGGAGGCACAATTAGATCATCCCAGTCTGAGGAGAAAATGCAACATGAAGTGACCAGGGAATTTGGCTCTTACCCTATACTCATAGCAAAGAAAAGACTATATAAAATCAGACTGTTATGGTAGCATCAATTAGAACTCTTCCTGGCTACTGAAGATGGGGATGCAGAGCTTATGGGAATGCTGTGATGTGGGTTCCTGAAACCCAACTACCTTGCGTGGGTTCCGGGACCCCATTGTGAGGAAAACAAGAACAGACCCTCTGCCTCCCTAAAAAAAACAGTGCAGGAGTGGACTAATTGGGAGCTTTCTTCGAAGTCGGGGTGCATTTGCTCGAGCGACAAGGAACAACCAACTGCACACAAATAAGTCAGAAAAATGGATGTACACACAAAGCCAAAGTCCAAATGGGCAAACAACCAGACTTTCGGCCGGAGCTTACAGCTGGTGAACAAAGAAGAAGACGAAGAAACTCAGCTCATGAGGTTGGGCCATACTGGTAAGAAAATTTTTTCCATTACTATGGACTGAACCGCACAACTGCCTTGACAGTCAAACACACTAACTACCTCGTGTTCACAGTTAGGCTGTGGTATCTGCGCCTTTCAGCCAAATACATCCGATTTAACCAAACCCCTATAATTAGTCATCTACATGCTTATGAGGGAGCAGTGGATCTATTGTCTCCTCTCTCTCCTAAATGGGGTCCCAGAACACACAAAAAGGAAATGTGTCACTAATAAAAATGCAGAAGAATCTTATACCTTAATAGCAAATGACAAGGAAAAATTTTATTGACAAAATCACATGCGGAGTTTAGGAAGAGAGTTCAACTGATTCCAGAGTATTTCTTGTGTTGTTCACTGATTAAGACTGGCTTAGGAATTGTCAGCCTAAAAACACTTGGAGACATACTCAGGAGGAGATCGGAGCACTTATGGTCATGTCTGATGTGCGACAGATTATCTTTAAAATTAACATTGAGACTGGCTGAACCAGTAGCCTGCATAGTCATAAATTATGTTTATTCAGTTTTTCAGTGTAAGCCCTAGAGTCCCTTTTAACACTATTTCACATGAGTGTCACTAGTTGTCCACATTTAATCTTCAATAGTGGCAGCGTATTTCTGACCAGTATAGAGTCATTAGAAGCAAAAAAATAGAGAAACTATTAATAAGCTTTCAAAAAATTAAGAAAGACAAATTCAGTTGGCAATCTCAGCCACTATATCTTCTTTGCGTTCACCAGCTGTAAACTCCTGCGAGTCAACTCTTACAACATGCTTTTGGGTAGGCAGTGGGTCTATTCTTGCTTTCTCTATAATAGGGCCCCGGAACCCACTATATCAAATTTGTGATTTATGCCTAGAACCATATATCAGCCCTATTAGTTATTATTCTCAGAGTTCTGATTTATCGTTCATTTGTAGACTACATGTGTTATACTCTTGCAGGTTCAATTCTGAGTCAATTGTTCTGTACTCCAAAGGTTTGTGTTACCACTGTATCTTCAATTCACAACACACCAGATCTTGTGGAGATGTAAATGATTTATTTACTCACATGGCAAATATGGAAAAGGTCACCTTTACAAGCCTATACTCTGAATGAATAGTAAATTGAAATCTTGGAGCAAGAATGTTGTATAAAAACCTACCTCTGCTGTATGATAGGTGACATCAACCCAAGGTTCATCCTCTCGTTTCTGGCTAACGTACTCATAACTGGCCATTCTCCTTGCCTTGAACTCCTCACTCTCGCCCCGTGACACTTTCATGTTCACTGGCACAGCATCATCTCCACCTTCATCTTGGGAAGACTCGCCTATGTGACAAATTACAATGAAAACTTTTAATGAAAATTAATGCATTCGTTCTCCTTGTACCAGCTGGTGCTAAGTCTCTATTACATATCAAACAATAAGCTAATTTTATCATCTATGTTCAGGCTTATATATTTTTCAGCATAATAAATTTCACACAATAACTGCAAATTCTTAAACATTTAATGCAATATGTTCTCTCTCAAACACACACATAAGTGTGACACTGCCATAAACTGTCCATTCTTGAAACCAACAGGGCATTTACTTTAGTGACCTTTTCCCTCCAATTTCCTGAAGGATACATTCTTATAAAGGAATACATGCCATATATGATAGGGTGGTACAGAGACCGTTGAAGTACCACAACTAACACTTCATTCGAACCATACCAGGAATCAGTGATGTTCTTTTTAAATCGCTTTGCATTACGGCATAAGTATTTTAGCTTTAGGGACATAGTGCAGTCATGAGTCAGTATTCTTTGATGCTCAGATCTTGTAGAATATCAGTATTATTTTTTCTCTCTTGATCTGTGTAGCCTTTATAGAAGTTATCCATAAAATTTCAGTTCAAAAATCCTAATTTTCTTCTTTGGTGACTGAAATTATCCATTTCTCACGATCTCATGTCACAATTATGCGCATGCTGCAAAAAATAAAATCTTTACCTCAATTTATTTATTACTGTTGTGTCTTAGTCCTTATTTAATGTTGTTTAACCTGTTTTTCTATGGTCAGTCTGCTTCTAAAAAATATCCACTGATGTTAATTGGTTGGCACCTTTCAGTATCTCCAGACATTGACGATATACTGTGCCACATGAAGGCATTCCTCATCTGCCTGTGCATTCGTGTTGAGACCATGTGTTTCCTATGTAGCATGATCCTTCACTTGTTTAGTCCAAAGAAAAAGTTAATACATTTAGAATAAATCATTCTGCAGAAGCTGCTAGATCAGAAAAGCAGTTCTCTATCCATTGAAAGGCCCGAAATATTATCTTCACTGATTGAATGTCTGCATTACAAGCTCTAAAGGGCAGTGGACGTTGCAGAGCTGACATAGCCAAGATAATTATGGAGGCTGATCAGTTCATTACTTCATACAACATCAGACTAATGATGCAGTGGATCCCATTTCACTCTGACACACCAGGTAATGACAGAGCTGACAGACTGGCAAAGAAATTAGCAAAACAAGAACAACATCCACAGCGACAACCCTATCGACAACAAAAGGACTTATAAGAGATATAAACAAAGAGACTTGGTTGAACAGATTGGCCATGGGAGACACTGGAAGAGAGGTTGACAGACATGGCTGTGGTCATGACCCTAATGACAACATCAACCATTTAACAAGAAGGGACCAGGTCACCCTCTTCAGACTCAGAACACAACATATTCAACTCAATGGACATCTAAACAGAATACGGCCACAACACTCCCAAGAGTGCCAGCTTTGTAACTACCCCTACGAAACTGTTGACCATCATCACTTTGAGTGCCAAAAACTCAGTGAGACTAGAAGAATGCTACTCCCTCTGAGACCAGACAAGTGGAACACCTTGTCTGGAGGAAAACAACAGCTTGTGAAAACATGCAAATTCCACCACATGGCTTTGGGCAAAAGGGGGAAGCCCACGCGCTGCTGGATCGATAAAAACAGCAATTTACTGAAATATATAGAACCAGAACTTAGCCATATTAAAATTTTATTTTTAAATTCTTAATCTTTATTGAAATTTTCGGTTGACACATTATCTGCAGACTGTTATTTTTCAAAACTTGAAAACAAACGTTAAAAAATGGATTTTGATCTCCGGATTAAACAAAAGACATTATACAATAAATAATTTACCTCCATCTGTGGCATTCAAAGTTGCAGCCTCTGCAATGTGTCTTTTATCAGCCTTGTCAAGGTAATCAAAGCACGGTCTCATCTGTACAACAGCACTCACTGGTGTCAGATGAAGCTCTCCTGTTCAAGCAAAAAACATTGTTTCAAATTTTATGACATTCAATCCATGAATTATTTTAGTATGAAGTACTTTGCGCTTCTTGTAATTTTTTTGTTAACATAAACATGCTATGGAGTCATGAGAACACATAATCAACACTGTTATCAAAAATGATTGGTGATGGACACAAATGAAGGTTAGGGATACAAATAATATTTATTCATAACCAAAAAAATGTAATCTGAATTTTTTTTTTTAGTTTTAAAGATGCAATAATATTGCAGAACACAAAGAATGAATTGAATAGAATTTAGATAATATGTATAATTCTTAATTTTAGGGTTATTTTTTTAAATTAGGCAGTCGTAGCTTGATCACAAAATGAGGCAGAGGTTTGATACTGAAAAGGTTGCAGGACAATGGACAAAACCCAAGGATATTTTTCAAAGATATAAATTAATGCATTAGTTAAAGTTACAGTTATCCAGTACCATCCTCCAATTGTACTGTTGGTATGAGATATGAAACCCACAGTAGATTCCTCCATACTCTTCAATTAGGTGCTATCCTTTCAACTTTGTGTAAAGAATATAGTTCAACATCTCTAGTATTACCTCTCATCAATGTTCGTCAGTATCGAAACCATTTAACAAACATTTTCAATGTCAACACCATTCTGTCCTGCTTCATGACTAAACAAACAATTTTTGTTCAATAATATTATCAAACGAGACTTGGCATCTTTAAATTATGTATAACAAAAGTTAAAGTTACCACTTACCATCTTTAAAAAGGCCTACAGCATACTGACAATTTGTGAATGTTTTTGTATTTGGTGGGCAGCTCAAAACAATTTTGTCCATTTTTGATCTAAAACATGAAAAGGCAATGATTATTAAATGGCAACATTAAAGAAATATATTATTAGTCTTTTAACTCATGAAGTCTGCTCTTGTGCTAATTCTAGTTCAAAGATTACAATTGTACAGAACAGCAATCTAACATGTTATAGAGATGTGCATGTAATAAAAGATTATGTCAGAAGTTAAAAAAAAAAAAAAAAAAAAAATAAAAAACAATGTAATAATTATTGATATCTAAGAGATAAGCAAAATAGTCTAAATTAGAATTACTAAATGTTATGTATATGCAACCCTACTGTGCGGTGAAGAGACCAGGACAATGCACAAGCAATAAGAAAGTCAAATTGAGTCTCTAGAAATTTGATATATAGAAGAACAGGTCATGCTGTTTGCAAAAGAAAAACAATCACATGCAGAAGTTTTGAAAAGACTAGGAATGAATAAGTAGTTGGAGACAAATAACAGAGACAAGTGAAATACTGGTTTTTTTTTTGGTGTATTTCCTCTTCTTCATATGTTCTTATGAGAGACATTTTAATGTATTCATTCACAATACTGTAAATTAAGCAAAGCAAAAAAATATTGTGAGAAGAGTACGACATATGTTCAACTAGTAAGCTACCATGCAGTGGTCAGTATCTACACAAGACATTTACTCCAGGAGACAGAGCATCTATATGTAAGCCTGGTATGCTATGATGTTCATTCTAACATTGGTAATCACAATGTTGTGCAAACAGGCAGCTAATATCAGATCATCAACGCACTCCAAATAACTCTTTTAAGTGCTGCAACCATTGTAGTAAATCCCTAGTATGGCAATTACGGTCAGATGCTGATTAACATGACTTGCAAACTCCATGTGATGCTCTTCCTGGCCATACAAATCTGCAAATTGAGCTCTTACATTCTAATTATTGCTGCTGATTTATTCAACTGAAAGACTTTGTTTCATCCGGCTGCTTAAAAGACACTAAATATCGGCTCATTTGCAGATCATCTATTTAGCAGCAGTGCTAGACAATCTGCATTCCATTGCCCGTAATACCTGATCTTGTGCAAGGATAAATGTAAGGACTTGGTGTAATGTTTGCACATGATACCTGCCTCAACTTTGAAGATCATATTCAATGAAGTGGAGTGAAGAGTTCTGTTCCCCAATTCAGAAAACACAAATGAACTGACCAAGCCACAAAAACAAAGTAGCCAACCTTGTTAAAAAAAAAAAAATACATAAATAAATTTAAAAAAAAACCATACACATGAAACACCACCAACCCGTACCCGGAAAAAACCCTATCTCCAGAATTTGGAGGTAGACTGCCATCCACGTTGACAGATATTTGTTCCCCCTTGCTGGTAGAGTAATTTTTGCTGCGGGTATCTAAAGCAAGTTCCATTTCCACCTGTATGAAGAACAAATCATTAAAGCAGGCCACAACATCTAAGCAAGAAAGTTAACCCTCTTGCATCAGGAACACTAAAACAGAATGGGTATAGAAAAAAATCCTTCAAATAAAAATTTAAAATAAATAACAATTTTACACAGGTCACTAATAAATTTGTAACTAATTTATTTATTTACATTTGATTGAAGTTTGCTTTTTTCATTATATACAAATATATGAAGGTAGTAATCAATAAACTGCGGAAGGTTTGTCTTGCGTTGGTTTCGACAGTGGTATTGAGAGCTGACCGTTCAGAGGCAATGCCAAACTACTGAATGTAAAATTTGCCTAGAAAACCCACAACAGTAAAAAAAAAAAAATGCTGGGTTTAGTACTGCAAAGGAAATGCAACTTTTTTTTTGGTCGGCGCCTGTGGCTCAGACGTTGCTAACGTGCTTTATAATGCCAGGTTCGATCAGAGCTGCAGATGATTTATCTTGTGTCAATTTCAGCAGTGGCACTGAGAGCTGACCGCTCAGAGAGCAATAGCAAACTACTGAAAGTAAAATGTGCCTAGAAAATCCACGACAGCCCAAAAAAAATTATGGGATTGGTTTCTACAACATCCTGTAAAGGATATGCAACTGCAGCTAACTTTGTTTTTTTTTTATCAATAAACACAAACAGGGTGAAGCATTAAATGGAATACATTCCCCCAGGCCTTAAAAAACCTAGGTATCAGGTGACTTATGTCGTGACCATTGAGGCTTACAAACTGCCATTTGGCTCAAAGGAACACCCCTTCCTCCTTTCTTAACCCCCTAAATGGTATTTTTAGTTAATTTATTCATACCCTGACCTTACAAACATTTGCACAGGTGTAAAAACAGCCAACAGTATTAAATATGCATCTCATAAACAGGTAACTTCAGACATGTAGGAAAAGTGACATTTATGGGCCTTTAGCCTTGGTTGGCAGCTGATCTAGAAGGAAAGCTCTGACAGGCAGACAGACAAAGCACTGCTCTTCTGCAACATACTGGTATTACTTCTTCTGTGGAGTTAACAAAGCAGGCCGAAAGAGGGATAATGCCCGGGGAGGGTTGTACTATGTGTTTATATTTAAGTCTGATTTTCAAATGTTTTTTGTTCTTATATTGTGTTTGTATTTAAGTCTGATTTTCAAATGTTTTTTGTTCTTATATTCTGTCATGGTCTTGCATGCAAGTATTCATGTTTGACAAACTTTAGTGACAAATAAATCTTCAATTACATGGAAATAGGCAAGACGAAAGACATGCATTAGCCTAAGACTCTTGTGGTAACAATTACAGTGACAGTTTGTGTATTTCAGTTGAAAGGTTTCATTTTTGTGCATCACTATAAGCTATGAGTTAAAAATCGACATAATATCACTCGGGACATTCCTAAAGCGATCCATCCCCATCTTCAGCAACAAACCAGCAAGCTGACAGATCAGCTGCAGGGATTCTTCTAGACCAGTTGTTCTCAAACTGTAGGTCGCGTCCATTGGGGGGGTGGGAGTGTTGAATGACCCTTTAACAGGGGTCACCTAAGACCATAGAAAATAACATATTAACTGAAGTTATGAAATAACAACAAGAATTATTTTATGGTTGGGGGTCATCACAACAGGAGGAACTGTATTAAAGAGTCACAGCATTAGGAAAGTTGCTCTAGACAGTGAGCTACTATATGATAAAGTGTAAATGGTGAAGGCTCTCTGGTATCAAATGAATAGTGCAATTGAACAACATACAAAGAATCCATGAACAGGAAGACTAGATCAACAGGGAGTGAGTAGAGGCTCTGGAAGATATTTAACAGAGAGGGGGAAACATTAGCATGTCGATTCTTCACTGGCTACCGAAAATGTGTGCCGAGCACATGTAGGAATGTCCTTAATGGAGTGACGTCAAATCTTGTTTCATCCATTTTTCAACAGGTTCCGGTGGTACACCTAACTGTAACAGTCTGACTTTGGTATGTCTGTCTCACCCCTGCCCTGATCACTTCTTGATCCACCACTCTCTTCATAAGAGGAAGAAAAGAGGTTGTGCATCATTATCTGCAGATGTAGTACATACCAGACAGATATAGAAAACATTACCAGGCAATAACTTTTGCTAGTGTCTTTATTATTTAAATCACAATAAGGAAAACATTGCTTTGCCTTTTATTTTCCTTTACAAAGAGACAAAACACAACTGCAAATTTCAAGCTTTCAGAAGACAAACTAACCCTCTTTTGTTGAGGTTTAACCCGTGCTGACAAGTTATCAAAGTGACCATAGCCCAATCCTACTGGTCGAAGGGGATACTGAAATAGAAATATAATAGAAAATGATAAAAATATGCAACAGTGCCATTTTCTTCTTCTTCTTCAGCAGCATTCCGAGCCCTTGAGGTTCATTGCTGCAAATATCACCGGCCTCCATTCATCTCTCTGGTTGGCCTTCTTTTTCCAGTTAGTGACACCAAGTGTTTGCAGGTCTGTCTGGGTATTATCTCTCCATCGTCTTTTTGATCTGCCTTGTGGTCTACAACCATTTATCTCCCTTGTATATACAGTTTTTACTTCTCTGTCATCTGACATTCTTTCAATATGCCCCAACCATTTCAGTCTATTAGCTCTCATGGTGCCAGTGATCAATGGTGATTCAGATTATGAATTTCATTGTTGCTTCTCACTCTCCATTCCCCGCTGTATGCATCTTTGATGGGTTCAAAGGTTCATCATAAGACTGTTTTTTTTAAAAAAAAAGGTTTCATTTCTTTTAGCTGTGCTTTAAGTTTCAGAGCCATACAAAACAACTGGTCTAATCAAAGTTTTATACATTTTGATCTTGGTGTTGTGAGACAGACACTTCAGCAGATAAATAGTGCCATTTAGTGCTAAATATTTAAAAATGAAAAGGTGATGTCAAAAGGTGACTGCAGTCGAGCTGACATTTATAACAACCTAATATTCTGATCAAAGTCTTATCAACACAGAGCTTCCTAGCTATAATTTCTAGTGTATTATTTATTTACGTTCTGATTTTGTTAAAACCAGCCCTGTTAAAAATCAAATCATCATCTTCTGTCTTGCTGATAAGCAAATGGCAGTCATGATTCAATATCTCACATGATCATTAATCTCGTCTCAAGTATATTATGACAGCCAATTTCCACTTTTGAAGTTACTGGAGTTCTCTGCACATTGTTACCTTTTATTACCCATGTTCTCTGTCATGTTGTTGATCCTAATCCATTCTTTCAAATTCCATAATAAATCTGTTTGTGATGAACATATGTTTAAAAAAAAAATTTTTTTTTTTTTAAATGGGAGACAAATGCGCATAGGTGTTCAGAAAGTGTTACATTCAGATCATGTTAAAACTACTTTGTGGCTGCTCACCTGCATAAGATAGAGGTTCTGTGCTAAACTCTTTGAAAGGAACACATCAATCTGTGGAATGAAAAACTCAAATCTTACAGAGGGACACTTTGGCTGGGAGCAATCACCGGTCCAGTAGAAGAAAGTATGATTATGTCCAAAGTTAGTAGTTCTATGTATTAGGTTAGATACTGTATGAGCTGTGTAAGTCCCAAGATCATACGGCCGTTAAAGGGGGGGGGGGGGGGGGGGGAGGGGTGAGCAGGAAGTGAGAATCAACAAAATGCCCACTATCAAGCATATTGTGACTAATTAGGGATGTCTCCTCCTAAGTCGGAGTGCATCTGCCTGAGAAGCAAGTAGCCAACAGTCTGCATACAAATAAGCCAGTTCTAAAAATGGATGGTAGTCGCCGTGGTGGAGCGGCTAGAAGCTTGCTGCGGATCTGAAGGTTGTGGGTTCGCTTCCTGGCAGAGCCAGACTTTTTTTTTAAATGACCTTGGCTCCCAGGTCGACCCAGCCCTGAGTGGGTACCGGGTGTAGTCCCGGGAAGTAGAGGCGGCTGGCGTGATGCTGACCAAATCACCCACCTTGTGCCAATTGGTCTATAAAATATAGGTCTAGCCCTATATGCCTAAAGGCGTGGAAAAGGGTCCTTTACTTACTTACTAGAAATGGATGTCAAGCACAACTCAAGTCCCAAAACAAAACCGAGAAGTGGGCTAACAACTAGAACTTTCTGCCAGAGTTTACAAACAAGTGAATCACTCACTAAATGCTTAGAAGATATTGTATTTTCATTTTGTTTGTGTGTGTGAACCCTAATAATTAATTACTATCCTTTCCTACGATACTTAACTCGGCTGAACTCTGAATGGCCATTGAGTTAACGGTATGTGTCGATTCCTCCCCACCAAATATATGGTTGACACATTCCGTTTCTGGTGACAGATTTTATCGAGTTTGCTCTCTAGACAGTTGCACTCCCCTGCTGACAGGATTCTTTCTTCCCGAGTGGACCGCCACGATCAAAACATTGAGAAGGCAGCATGGTCGAGGCTGCCAAAACTATCGGTCATTATTCCGCCCCGACATAGCTCCCACGAAAAACACATAGTGTCCTGCATTGGCAATGCGCACAAAATAGCATTCACGTTTATGAAACAGAATAACCCGAGAGAATTGACACCTAGCGAAAATAAACACAGCTGCTATCCGCCATTTTGAAAACGGAAGTCCGAACTCTGAATAACGGTCCCAAATTATCAAGGCTAAAAAATACCCTAACAGGGCCTCAATGTTTGTGACTGTGCCGCCAGTAAACTGCGCTAAATATTCAGTTAACAGTGCGCGACTAGTGCCGCCGTGGTAATATTGCATCCGTGTAAGTTCCATCCATAACCCTTCAATCAATACTGTCGCGGTTTCATTGTGGTGTGACAGATTCTGGTGGGGGTGTCATAATTGCAATACTCCTTGCCCTAACACCCAGGGGAGAAGTTTAATCTAGGACCCAGGGGAAAAGTTAAACCTAGGACCCAGGGGAGAAGTTTAATCTAGGACCCAGGGGAAAAGTTAAACCTAGGACCCAGGTGAGAAGTTTAATCTAGAACCCAAAGGAGAAATTAGACCTAGGACCTAGAGAAGAAATTAAATGTAGCAGTGTCAGAGCTGTTGACACCCTCGATGATTTGGGACCATCATTCGGAGAAGTTTTTCACGCGGTATGCGGTATATTCACATCAAAGAAGTCCACAATTTACATATGATTGAGGCCCTATTAGGGTATTTGCTTAGCCTCGATAATCTGGGACCAATATTTGAAGGATAGCCCTTTACTGTAAATTAAAGCTCAACAATCAATTTAGATACAGATTTAAGTTAATTTTAGTTGCTACTTTTTTTTTTAGCTGATAGAGACATGCAGAATCTTGTAAAAAAAATTAATAAAATACCCCCCCCCCCCCCCGACACCATTTTGTTTAAAAATTGAAGTCAAATTTTGGGCTATCTTCCAAATAGCCGTTATAAATTATCAAGTCAGAAAATATAACCTAACAGGGCCTCAGTCACGTGTCAGTTGCAGACTTCCGGGGACTATACCGCCACGGCCGAGAGTATCTCCCACGCCGCAACGCGCGCCGAGGATTGGGGCTAAACTAGATGGCTGGGACTCACGAGCAAATAAAATAAAGGAAGCTGCAGGAGATGCAGTAGGCATAGCTGTTGCTTGTGAGTCCCAGCCATCTATTTGAGCCCCAATCCACGCCGTAGCTGCGTGGGAGATACTCTCGGCAGTGGTGGTAGTCGCCGGAAGTGTGCAATTTATGTCACCGGAAGTCTGCAATTGACACGTGACTGATTGCCCTGATAGAGTATATTTGCGGCCTCGATAATTTGGGACCGTTATTCAGAAGATAGCCAAATTTTATTACAAAAACTATATATTTTATTTAATCCCACTAAAAAAGTAGACATTTTTAGATTTTTTTGACTTTGTCACTGTCAACAAAATGATTTGATGCACTAACTACTGATATCGCAATCCATCAATCAATGACGTCAAGTCACTGTGCGTGACTGCTGTCAACTTTGTCTTGTAAATCACATTTATTTATTATTTATTTCGAGCTTCAGTGATCACTGCGACTTCTGATGACTTCACTTCGCGGTCATTTAAATACAAAGTTAAATTAGGCACAGTTTCTTGTTCTATGTGTTAACTGTTATTTAAAATTAATCAAAGCGCGATATGTGATTTTCTCCCCGTGAAATGCATGAGATAAATCACAAACATTTCAGATCATGGTCATGTGTGGTTTGGTTGGTCTTAAGGTAAGACAGTAGATATAATATACATTTTTAAATATTTTCAAATTTATAGTATTTACTTACATGAATAATGAGACCTTCAATAACTAGTACTATCTAAAGCATTATTAAAAACACAGTTAAGCTGTTACCTCATCAACTACGGGATCTGTGTCCACATCATCCGCCATGGTTGCTGTAAAGATCAAAGATGCGATATTCCAACTTTTCACCCGGAAGTAATAACTGGACGTTTACGTTCCGTGACAGTATAGTTTAATTGCTCTGCAATCCTACTTGTATATGACCTACCACCTCCGTAATAATATCAAAAGCTGGAGCCGGCCGTGGTCAGCCTTGCCGAGTATCAGCCAAATCCCCTAGTCACTCCCGGTTGCCCCATTATCTAGGCTGGCAGCTAAAGAAGGGGGCGGGGCGGTTATGGGAAGTCCTAAGTGCCCTGATGTCGGTTCTTTTCTCAGTCCACTGTCTGCAATCATGATGTAACCTTAAAGAAGCCAATGGGAATTATCTGCTATATAAAGTACCTGGGTAGAACTACTGAGGTCATAGTAACAGTGTATACAGGGCCGTGCCGTGTTATGATACAGATTTGCGTTCGCATCAGGCGGCAACGTAAGGGAAGGCATAAACAGCGAAATAAAGATGCAATTTGAACATTTAAGTGACGGCATTTCGAAGACTTGCATCATAAATATATATATCATTTACAGATAGACATGCACCACAGAAAGAAGTAGAAAGACATAAGGATGACACAAAAATCACGTATGATAGACAGGGTTAATAACATAATCCTTGAGCCATTATGGTCGTGGAGGTGTACTGATGGAAGCACTAGCACATAAAATCCGCCATCTTTTACTGTCTTCCTCTTGATGAATAAGTGCATGATAACTTAGTCCTGTCCATTTCTTGATGTTGTCTCTCTAGGTTCTTCTTCGCCCTCCTTTTCTTCGACTACCCCCTGTGTTCCTTGGAGTACAGTCTTTGCAATCAAATCATGGCTCACTACGTACCCAAACCAAGTTAGCTTGAGACGTTTCGCCACTGCCAAGAGAGGCTCCCCATGTCCCGCAAATTTGTATATTTTGTCTTTGACATATTTTTTAGTTTTGTGTTCTAAAAACTAATTCGTAAAATGCATGTAGCATTTACATTCGAAAGTCTGAATCCTCCTTTCCATTTCCATAGTGGGTCCAACTCTCACAGACATAAGAAAATAGACAATACCAGTGATTTGTAAATCTTAGTACACCTGTATTGCTGCAAGGTTTGACGTGATTTAGGGGGGGGGGGGGGGGGGGTGGACAGGCTTTATGACTTTATTCCCGGCATGATAACTATAGCTTGTGATTTTTATGTTATCTTTCTATCTTTCTGCTTCTTGAACCCCCAATTGTGGAATGCCGGCCAAAATTCGTCTCAGATAATGAAAACAGTACCATAGGTTGCAGAAATTCACACTAACCATGTGTGATAGACATGGCTAATAAATTCCCATTTAGTAGGGTGTCTAGCTGGTCTTTTTCTTTCTCTCTTCCACTATTTACCTCAGCGAAGTGTTTGGGGAAAAATAAGGATCGTTTGTGCACTTTTTCCCAATATATTGTACAAGTTGGTGTTAATTTCTGTCAGGTTTCTTCTGATGATATCGCTCCCTCTCTTGCGTGATCTTCCATTTGCTCTGTTTTCATTATATTTCTTCAGTGTGGCTCTCTGTGGCAGTTGGTACCAGGGCATTCTCGTCTGGTGACCAGACCATCTCATTTGCGTCTAGAAAATTCACCTATAATTTTCTAGAGGTGCAAGAGGGGCTCAAATATTGTTTAACTGCGAAGCAAGTGTTATTATTGCGAAAATATACAAGGCTAAGGCCTTTGGGACACTCCCTCCCCCCCTTCTCAGAAAATACTGAGTGTTCAAGGGGCCTAAACCTTGTGTAGTTGTGCAATAGTAATAATGGACATTTTTTAAGTAGTATCATTATTATATGGAAAATACCAAATTAAAAAACAACAACAATAATATATTGAAAATAATATGACATGTATAAACAGATGCTTGAAAAGAAAACGTCAAAATATGGTGGAAATGTGGCGGGGGTGATGGGGCGGGGAGGGAGCTATCTACAAAATATTGAGTGAGCTCAGCGTCAACCCTCGCACTCTCTCCTTGTAACGAAATGCAAGGGACGGTGGGGAGGGAGTGGGAGTGTTTCAAGGTGCATGGGCCCCCGAGTTCAGGCGCCTTTGCTAGACAGGTAATGGTTTCAGCATGTCGTAAGAGTCGACTAATTGGGGAGCTTCCTTTAAAGTCGGAACATCTGCCGGAGAGGCAAGGAACCAACAGTCTGTATTCAAGATAATGAGATCTGTAAAACTGATGCACACGCAACACTCAGGTCTTGGAGCAGGACTGCAGTTCAGTAATGGACGAGCAACCAGAACTTTCCGCCAGAGTGTACAGCTGGTGAACACGAAGAAGAAGAAAAAAAGTCCCACGTCAATTGCCTTTAACGTCATAAAACATTTAGAATAGGTTGAACTGGATGTCATTTTCATATTGCTTGGAATTTTCCATTAGTGTCCTTTAGTTTAGATCAGACGAAGAATTATATCTGGACTAACATTTTCGAGAAACTATCCAGAATCTCTGTGTGTGTAGTGTACACATACTATGAACTTTCTCTCTCCTCTGTAGATTGTTCCTAAATAAATCATAGCAGCCCACCTATCACAGTCACGTGGTAATATCCCATTAGCGTGATCATTTTTAACGTGCAAATATAAAATTAGTACCCTACCAAAATTTAAAAAAAAAAAAAAAAAATGGGGAAAAAATATTGAAAGCACAGAAATTATAGCAATGTATATTACGGTATACGTGTGTGTGTGTGTGTGTGGTTGGGGGGGGGGGGGGGCAAGGTCTAGTATGGTGCTAAAATAAAATATGCACTATTTTCCGGGGTGGGGAAGGGGACGGGGGATGAGCCCCAGATTAAATTAAAATAATTCGCCAAAGAATCGACTAGCAAGATGTAGTAGGATGGATGGCACATTAAGATCGTTACGGTTGTTTCTTCCTAGGACCTAGGATGTCCATAACCTGCCGCGGCTGCTATCTTTTCTTGTAAATGTTTACGTCCTGTTGGACGGCAGTTATTATTAGCCATGACATCAACGTCATCAACATTTTTAGAGGAATTGTCAGTTACATTCTGTGAAAATGCAACGATGTAAGAGGAGACAACGAGTTTGACAGAGAGAGAGAGAGAGAGAGAGAGAGAGAGAGAAAGAGAGAGAGAGAGAGAAAGAGAGACAGGCAGAGAGAAGGGATAGAGACGAAGGAAGGGTGAGAAAGAGATAGGGATTGGAGAGTTGCAAAGAGAGAGAGAGATAATTTTACAGGCAGAGAGCAAGAGAGAGAGAGAGAGAGAGAGAGAGAGAGAGAGAGTAAAAGTACGTTTCTAAAGGCCGAATAAGATAATGCGAAAGCGAGAATTGAGTATGAGAGAGAGGGTGAGAGAGAAGTTTGTGTAGGAATACGATTTGTAAGGCATAAAAAGAGAAACAAAAAGAGACAGGGAGCAGAGACAGACACAAAGAAAGAGAGAGAGAGCCGAGATAGACAAAGAGAGACAGAGAGAAAGAGACAGAGAACAGAGACATTCGAAGAAAAAGAGAGAGAGAGGGAGCAGAGAGAGCAAGAGAAACACCGAGGTATCAAAGAGAGACAGATAGAGAGAGAGAGAGTAGAGAGAGACAGAGAAACAGAGAACGACATAGAGAGAAGTGATAGATATAGAGAAAGAGAGCAGAGAGAGAACATAGAAAGCAGAGAGGGACAGAGAGATAGTGACAGAGAGAGAGCGAGAGAGAGAGAGAGAGAGAGAGCAAAGAGGGACAGAGAGAGACATAAGAGAGCATAGAAATAGAGATGTGGGTTTGTGTAGAATACGACTTGTAAGATAGACAGAGGCAGAACAGAGATAGACAGCTAGATAGGGATAAACAGAGAGAGAGAGAGCAGAGGCAGAGAGAAACAGAAAGACAAAGAGCAGAGAGAGAGCATGAGAGAAATAGGGATGTGGATTTTGTAGAGGTACGACTGGTAAGGCATAGAAAGAGAGATAGAGAGAGAAAGAGTGTAGAGAGAGAGAGTAGACAGAGGCAGAAAGAGCAGGCATAGACACGCAGAGAGAGAGAGAGAGAGAGAGAGAGAGAGCAGAGAGACAGAAATAGCAGAGAGGAACATAAAGACAGTGAGATGCAGAAAGAGAGGGACAGAAAGAAAGAGAGAGCAGAGAAATAGGGATGTGCATTTGTGTCGATATACGACTTGTAAGGCAGAGAGGGAGAAAGAGAGTGCACACAGAGATAGATAGAAAGAAAGCAGATAGAGAGCAGAGAGAAATAGAAAGAGCGAGAGCAGAGAGAGACACAGTGACAGAGCAGAAAGAGAGAGAAGGCGCACGCAGAGGGAGAGAGTGAGAGAAATAGTGATGTGGGTATGTGTAGAAGTTCGACTTATAAGACAGACAGAGGGAGAGCAAAGATAGACAGAGAGAGCAAAGATAGAGAGAGAGAGAGAGTGAGAAAGAGAGCAGAGAAGGAGAGAGTAGAGAGACAGAGAGCACACACACACACAGAGAGAGAGAGAGAGAGAGAGAGAGAGAGACAGGGATGTGCGTTTATGTAGAAGTACGACTTGTAAGGCAGAGAAAGAGAGAGCGAGAGAGAGTATTCAGAGAGAGTAATCTATTGCTATCGTGAAGAAATAATGCGTAAATTGACAGTAACACAAAAGTGAACAGTGAGGATGTAAACACTATTGATTGCGTAGACGATCCACATGGCACAATATTACAATATGGTACGCAACTACGGAAAGGTGCCAACTAAATTTATGGCTAAACACTGCTCGCCATGAATAGGACCCATGCAGTGTTGATCTTATCTCGATCTTCTTGTATCTTGCTGTGTCGAGATAAAGTAAAATTTGCAAGAGTCCGTTTGTGTAGCTCCTATTCTGTACTGCTTGTATTGCACAGTTCAAATATCAGTACATATGTTGTAATGTCTTGTTCTTTTATGCTTACTGTTATGAATCTCTCTGATATGTAGTTAATTTCCAAAATTCTTCTTGCCTATGAAGATTCAATAATAAA